CAGTCCTTATTTTGATCAACTAGCTAAGCTGCTGCTAAAAATAGTCCCAGATGGACTTCTTATCATTAATTCCCTCCTGACAGGAGCGACTAGAGCAGACTTGGTTAAACCTCTGTAACACTGGGGAACCAACAGGAGTTTCCGTTGGGCCATCCACCCTCCCATATTGCTGCATTAGAACCTTTGTCCCATCTCCATTAAAATCTCCTACACTCATCCTATTTCTTAGTTACCATCTAAAAATCTCCTGCTGAGTAAGTTCTTCCCAAAGTGAAAGCTGCCCCCCCTTCCTATTCTCCTTTGAATCGCTCTTAATGTTTCTTTTATCTATAAGACCCATGCAAGGAATTTGTGTCAACAAATCCAACAAAGCTTCTCAGATGGTTGTTTTGTAGTGACAGCAAGGGGTGCTTCATAGAAGGGTCTCCATGCCTTGGTAAAGGGAATATTCATTGAGTGAATATCCTGATAACCATAAAGTCATTCCAGGATGGCTTCATAAACAGTACATTAGCTGCTCTTTTATAGAGTGTTCCACTGGGTATTGATAGGGGGAGAAGTGCAGTTGCCCTTCTCAGGGTAAACAAATCTTACTGTTTAATTTTATTCAGTTCACCAAGCTGGCTGTCCTCTCAAATTAAACTGCTGTGTAACTAACTGTATCTTGTATTATCATTTGATTGTTTCATAATGATCTGTTGGTTCTTGAATCAACCCAAACCTCTTCGTCCATTCTACAGCATACCCCTAAATTATGCATGCTAACAATCCATTTTAGTAATGCTTCCTCAGGAAGCTAATCATACCAATCTACAAACTGAAGAAGCTCCTGTATACTATATCCCTGGTTTCAGTAGTGTCTTGACTTTGCCTGTTCCCCTCCCTGGCTACTTTCTTGGTGGCCAGTCCTAGGGTTCTTCTGTTCTTTCAACTTGATTTTTCCTTTCCTGGTTGGCCCTTGACCCCAACAATAGCAGTATTAGCTCTAACATAACTGTTCAATCTGCCCTTACATCCTTTTCTCTGCCTTGTCTGTCTACCTCTTTCCTTATCACTCTGCATTTCTATATGCATCCAACTAGTCAGCCGCTCAAGGAACTCTGATAGCATAGTGTTTGCAAGTCAGGCTGCTAATCTCATGATCAGCAGTTCAAAACTACCAGCTGTTTCGTGAGAGTAAAAATAGACTTTCTGCTCCCATAAAGATTTACAGCCTTGGAAACCGTATACAGTGTTGCTGTAAATTGGAACCAACTCCACAGCACATAACCACCACTAAGGAGCTCTGGTAGCATAGTGGTTATGAATCAGGCTGCTAACCTCAAGGTTGGTAGTTCGAAACTACCAGCAGTTCCACAGAAGAAAGATGAGGCGTTCTGCTCCCGTAAAGGTTACAGCCTTGGAAACCCTGTGCAGGGTCACTATGAGTTGGAAACGACTCCACGGCACTTAACAACAACCAGTCAATTGCTCAGGAGTAAGAACCACCACTTATATTTCCCAAGACTAGCTTTTGCCAAGGGTAACCGATTGCAATATAACAACTGCTTCAATCCATGGGCGATTTTTATGTCATCCAGAAACCAAAGGATTCTCATTCTCCTGTGTGTCCCTTTTCCCCAAAACTACATATTCTAGAAATCCTGGGCTATTTCAGCAAACCTAGCCTTTCTGACACATACTACACAAATAAATTTATTTTAAGATTATTTGCCTGACACGACTAGTCCCAATGGGGCTCCTGGTGTAGCTCTGTAGGATAAGCACTGGACTGCTAGCCATGAGGTTGGCAGTTCAAATCCACTCACTAGTCACTCCTTGGAAACCCTATCCAGGGTTGCTATGAGTAGGAACCAATTTGACGACACTTAACAACAGCAAGTCTTAATGGACTTGAAATCATTTGTTTAGTATGTGACAAAATGGCTAACTTTCCAAATGGAGAGTCCTAGTGTGGTACTGTAGGATAAACACTGGACTGCTAACTGCAAGGTTGGTGGTTCAAACCCACCAGCCACTCCTTGGAAACTGAGTTGGAACCAACTCTAGGGTACTTAACAATAGTCCCTACTGGGTAGAAATGAAAGATTTACCAAATGCCCAGCTTTTCCAAATAGCTATACACTGCATCATTTCTGATATCAACTACTCTTCTCTCCTATCTTTTTGTGAAGTGTCAGAGAGTTGGTGTTGACTCATAGTGACCCTGGATAGAGTTTCCAAGGACCAACTGGTAGGTTTGAACTGCCAACTTTGTAATTAGCAGTCCGGTGCTTATCCTACAGCACCATACCAGGACTCCTCCCCCATCTTGGTGGTTATGTGCCGTAGAGTCGGTTCCGACTCAGCCACCCTGTACAGGGTTTCCGAGGCCGTAAATCTTTACAGGAGCAGAAAGCCTCATCTTTCTCACACAGCACAGCTGGTGGTTTCAAAATGCTGACCTTGTGGTTTGTAGCCTGATTCGTAACCACTATGCTACCAGAGCTCCTCCCCCATCTTAGAGTTCCATAATTCCCTGTAATGACTCATTGTTGTTGTCAAGTGCGGTTGAATCTGCTGACTCATAGTGACCCTGTATAGGGTTTCCAAGGAGTGACTAATGAGTGGGTTTGAACTACCAACTTTGTGGTTAGCAGCCCAGTCCTTATAGTATCACACCAGGACTCTGCAATGGCTCATAGAACTAAAGACTCACTATGGCTTACTGCATGTAACCAAGAACCAATGATACTGAAGGAAGAAGCTCAAGGTGCACTGAAAGCATTGGCAAAGAACAAGGCTCCAGAATTGATGGAATACAAATTGAAATCTTTCAACAAACTGATGCAGCACTGGAGGCACTCACTCATCTGTGCCAAGAATTTTGGAAGACAGCTACCTGGCCAACTGATTAGAAGAGATCCACATCGCTCTCATTTCAAAGAAAGGTGGCCCAGTGGAATGTGGAAATCATTGGGCAATATCATTAATATCACATGCAATTAAAATTTTGCTAACGATAATTCAAAAACATTGTAATAGTACAATGACGGAACTGCTTGTCAATAGTACATTGACAGGGAACTGACACTGAGAGGTTCAAGCCGGATTTAGACAAAGACGTGGAATTAGGGGTACTGGTGACATTAGATGGATCGTGGAGCGAGCAATATCATTTCTGATATCAAATGGATCTTGGCTGAAAGCAGAGAATATCACAAAGATATTTATTCACCCGTGATTTATTGACTATGTTATAGACTTCTGACTGTGTGGATCGTGCAAGCCATGGCTATCAATTGTGAGGATTAGGCAGTATTTCATTCTTTTGTGCATAGGGTCTCTCTGAGTTAGAACTGACTCAGTGGTACCTAACAATAAGAGCAACAATGCTGCCATTAGAAAAAGCTCTCCCTACCCAAATAGCAAGGAGCTCTGGTAGCATAGTGGTTACGAATCGAGCTGTGAACCTCAAGGTCAGCAGTTCGAAACTGCCAGCTGTTCCGCGGGAGAAGGAGGAGGCTTTCTGCTCCCATAAAAAGTTACAGCCTCGGAAACCCTGTACAGGGTCACTATGAGTCGGAACCGACTCCAAGGCACATAACAACAACAACAACCCAGATAGCAAGCCCTCTTATCTTGACTGTAGCCTTGGGCTAGATATGGCTATCTGCTCCACAGCCCTGGCTGGTGGTCATAATCTGTTGTAAGTACAGCTGCATTTAATCAGCTCTGTGTGGATTGTTGTTGCATGCCATACAGTGGATTCTGCGGGGAAAAAAAATCTTTTTTTGGTGATTCTTTAGTTCTATGAGCCATTGCAGAGTCCTGGTGTGACCCTATAAGATAAAGACTGGGCTGCTAGCAACCTCTATAGCAACCCTGTATAGGGTTTCCCATGAGCAGCTATTAGGTTTGAACTGCCGACTTTTTGGTTACCAGTTCAGTGCTTATCCTACAGTACCATACTAGGAGTCTGTTGTTGTTGTTAAGTGACCCTGTATAGAGTTTCCAAGGAGTGACTGGTGCGTTTCAACTGTCAACCTTGCTGTTCAAACCAACTTTGCAGTCCAGCACATTAACCCACAGCACCATACCAGGACTCCAGTGGGAGTCGATTTGCAGTTCTTCCAATAATGAATGAAAACAGTTTTCAAAGGCACTAACAGACCGCAGCTTACCAGAATCACTCTGATTAACTGAGAATGGAGTGGGTAAGAACATCAGACTCATTTCTAATTCCAAAGTCTATAAAGTGGCCAATTATTATTTAGGTTAACAAAACAAGTTCTTAACTCAGTGAATTTGGATTAGAGAATTTGCTAGGAGTCCTGGTGTGGCGCTGTAGGATAAGCATTGAACTGCAACCACCACCACCCCCTCCGCCCCCAGCTGCATCTTATAAACCCTATACAGGGTTGCTGAGTTGGAATCCACTCGGCACTTAACAACATTTGTGTAGTCAGATCTTTGTCTAATGGCAGCAAGGGCATTGGGTTTGGAGGTCAGACTCCTAAGCCTGATTCCTATTCTGTCTATGAGACGTGTTCCCTGAGCAAGCTTCTCTTACAAAATGAAGGAGTTGTACTCAGTGCCTGAAGGGCACCATTCTAGCTCTAACAGTCTCAGGTTTTTCAAAAAGAATTATAGTCTAATTATATGATTGGGTCCATTTAGTGCCTGTTATTCTTAGAATGCCAATTCTTTCAGTAAAGTGTAACCTGGTACAAAGACAACCTTATATATAAATAAGAGGGCTTATTCTTCTTTTTGGAGTCCCTGAGTGCTGGACTTGTAAACCAAAATGTTGGTAGTTTGAAACCACCCAGAAGTGCCTTGAAAGAAAGCATGGTAATCTGCTTCTAAAAGGTCAGAACCGTGAAAACCCTGCGGACTGAGAGCAGCGCTACTCTAACACCTGGGGTCGTGCCATAGTTAGAACAACTCAAAGGTAACTGGTTTTTCTGTTTGGTTTTATTCTTTTTACAGAGTTCCACTTTCTGTAAAAACAAGTTTAATGGCTGCTATATATTCATTTAAAAATATCTTAATAAGCATTGGTTTAAAAAAAGGCAAAAGAAGAAGGTAACACCTCAGAGCAAATGCTTAAAGGTCAAACAAATATTATAAATATTGCACTTTAAAAAATCTTGTTTTACATCTTCACACAGCTCATTTCCAAAAACATCCTTTTACAGAGATGTATAAATAAATCACTTGCAAGCTGCCAGTGCGTCACACATGGAATTTCCTTTTACAGCACTAAGCCTGTAGGTCTTCCATTAGATTTCTGCTCCTCTTCCTGTAGGCACAGAACTTCCATCAGCAATATTGGAGGTCTCATACTTAAAGCATGTGAAGAGTAATTCAGTCAAATCACTGGAATGCTCAATATTTAATTTCATATTTTTTTTCCTTTTTCCTATTGAGAAAAAATAGATCTTTCAAAGGCAATGACAGAATGCTGCATAACTCTTCAGAATTCCCTGTTAACATTGCTTGTTTTTCAAGGCATTCAGGAGCTTCTGATTCTTGGTCTTGAACATCATGATAAAACTGTTGGGCATGATTTTGCCTCGTCCATCTTCACCCACTTGGCCCATAATAATATAATTTAGACCTAAAGAAAGAGAATACAAAATTAAAATTTCTCTACAGGTGCTTAGACTATCATTACCTATGGATAACCATTCTATAAATGATATAATTGTACATTTGTTCTATCTAGACTAAAATATGGCTTAAGACTTTAATCAGTTAAGAGCTAAAGTCAATTGAATAACATATTCCAGCTCTACCAATGCAGACCCTAGACAGTGTGATACCTGAATTCCTGTGCTGCTCTGCAGTGTTGTAGGTCTGGTGTATTTACCAAGTGCCTTCAGTGACCTATCTGTGCAAACATGGAAGACTCCCAGATATGCCATTCTCAGATGACCTTAGTTCTATCATGCTTCTGGACTTGCATACATCTGACAACTAATCTCTACTCTTCTGTTGTTAGTTATGAACTTTTCTGAACATCTCAAGCACTTATACTTTGTAAATTTCTTGAGCACATGGATGGGTCATACATTCCTTTGCATTCTTATAGTCCTGTGCAAAAATTAAGTAGTAAAATGTATTTATATCTGGTACATTAATTTTTAGTGCATCAATGTGCCTAGCTAAGTTAGACTTGGACTGGGGTCTAAGCTGAGGTGTGTTAGGTTCAACTCTAGAGATTGATACTGTGTACAATGATGTCATATTCACTTCATTAATTCTCCTCTTTCACCCATGTTACAAGAGAACTACATGTCTCCTCTGTCTCTTGCATAATCCTTCCTCTGTGGGGTCTCACTATCACAGTGGTCTTGAGCCAATGAAAGCTTGGTGGGCTGAGCAAGGTGGATGCTATCCCTAGACTACTGCCGCCTCTGGGAGGCTTTATATTCCTAGCTGGTGTTTTGTTGTTGCTAGTTACTGTTGAGAATTGATCCTAACTCATAGTGACCCCATGTGTGCAGAGTAGACCTACTTCACAGGGTGTTTGGGAAGCAGATTGCTGCGTTAGTCTTGTAAAGCATCTCTGGATGGGTTCCAGCTGCCCACCTTTGACTGGTAGTCAAGCACTTAGCTGTCTGCACCACCCAGGACTCTTAGCAGTTTTGGAAGGAAGTACTGATCTCTTATCTAGCCTTTGTTATTCCCTTTGAGGGTCAGCATGAGGCTGCCAGACTCCTGTGAATTCACAGTATGGATCTTTTGAAGTGGATCGTCTGCATTTCTGTTCGTGCATGTTTTATCTGGTTTGGCTTGAATGTGGGAGAGGATTGTGACAAAAACTGAGATGAAGTCTAGGATGAGAAATCATATGCCACACAGTGATAGCATACATTACTACGATTCCAAAGAGACATCTGCATGTGCTCTTGTGGAAAGATGTCTACATACAGATTTTGTGGGGAAGAAGTTATAGTAGAGTATGCATTTGTGTAAGCGTGTGCTCAGATATGTGTGTGTACACACTTTATATAGATAGAAACTGTCTGGAAGGGACTTTTCATAATCCTTCACTACTTAACTTTTTTAAAAACCATGGAACATATATTACTTTTTTAAGTTAAGAAAAAACTAATAAAAATTAAATCATGTGCCCCTCGCACTAGAGGCATTTTCCTTTTTCCATAATTTGTCTTAATAAACTCATTCCCACCTATAATGGTTAGGGGTTTGTGTCAATTTGACTAGGCCTGGGTTTCAAGAGGTTTGGCAATTGGGATGTGCTTATTCCCATGGTGATAGGACCTAATACAGGCATAGTTAACTCTATGATGAGTGGCTATAAACAGCCAATCAAAAGGGTGCTTTCTTCAGGGTGTGGCCTGCTCCCAATATAATGGACATGTGGGAGGGACTCTCTCTCTCTCTTCTGCTAGGGACCTGGGACTCTGCAATTGTATGCCATTTCCTTGATAATAAACTTCTCTCTCTCTCTCTCTCTCTCTCTCTATCTATCTATCTATCTATATATATATATAAAGCAAAATCAGTGAACTATATATAAATTTCACTGATTTTGCTTCTTTAGAAAACCCGGCCTAAGATATCATCTATGGATTTAATGGTCTTATCTCTAGTTAGGAGACCCAAATCTTTAATTCCAGCCCAGATACATCTCTCTCTAATGAACTTCAGTTCTGCATTTCCTGTTGCTTGCTGGATATTTTCACTTAAACATAGCACTGACATGTTTCCCCTGAAGCAGTCCTTCAGTGTTTTTTCTCTATTGATATATCTTCATGTACTTCTTGGACTTATTCATCCTAGTTCATTCACTACCTGTTTTCCACAAGTTATCAAAAAGTAGCATTAGAGTCCAAATCTGAAGACATCCAAGGCTTCCCATTGATACTAGAAGTAGCTTATATATTAGAGCTGATTTCACTTCACTGAGCTTTGGTGTGTGCTTAGGGTAAGCACTGGACTGGTCATCTCAAGGTTAGAAAATCTACCAGCTACTCTCAGAAACCCTAACCAGGTCATTGTGAGTCAGAACTGACTTGATGACACATAACAACAACAACAAAACCTTGGTGGTAGTGGTTAAGTGCTCAGCTGCTACCTGAAAGGTCGATGGTTTGAACCCAACAGTCTCTAGACTCCGTGGAAGAAAGATGTGGCAATTGGCTTCTGTAAAGTCTACAGCCTTGGAGATCCCCTTTAATGATTGTAGTCATAACCAACTCCATGGTAAGGGGTTTTGGGTTTGGTAGAGTCCTGGTGGCGCAATAGTTATGCACTTAGCCAGTAACAGACAGTTTGAACCTACTAGCCCCTCAATGGGAGTCCTGGTGTGGCAATGTAGGATGAGCATTGGACCGCAAGGGCAGTGTGAACTGCAAAGTTGGTGGTTCAAAGCTATGAATTGCTCCTCAGTAACCCTACTCAATGGCACTTAACAACAACAAACTCCTTTGTGGGACAAAAGATATTTGTTCTCATAGAGATGACAGCTTAGGAAACCCTATGGGGCAGTTCTGCTCTGTCCTCTGGGGTCATTAGAAGTTGGAATTGACTCAGTGGCATCCAGTAGCAGCAGAGTAACCATGGCATGCAAACAGCCCTTGATCCATGGCTTGTGCCTTCTCTGTCCCTGAGCCCCCTAGGAAAAGAACTGAGGGATCCCCTTACTCACCTCTTCTGAGGAGAGGACACTGCTTGCAGACCACGATGACCTTGGCACTCATGCTCTTGCCTGCCTGCTGAATTGCTAGATTTCCCTCTTTATAGATGTTGATGATTGAGATCGTGGCATGCAGGCTGCCACCTCGAGTGATGGTGGTGATAACGGTACCAGCCAACACTGCAGAAGAAAACATCTTTGCTATAATGGCAGTGAAGGTAGATGTCAGCAGAGCTGAAAACAATTTTACATGCTTCTAAGTTTTAGATATGAAGATTTTAAAGTTAAAGTAAAGGCTGTAATAGAGTTCTCTAATTTGATTTGTGTATGTGTCAATAAAATTCAAGTGGGAATAGTTTCAGGGGACACCATGGTCAACTGGCATAACATAGTCCACAAAGACAGTGTTCAACATCTTACTTGAGTGAGTAGTGTCTGGGATATTGAAAGCTCATGAGTGACCATCTGAGGTGCAGCTATTGGTCTCTTCATGTTCACAAGAAATAAGAGTGATGAGAACAGAAGAGGCTTGGAACCAATTAGTCCAACAGACTAATGGAACATGTGAACATAGGTCTCTACGACTCTAAAACCAGAAGAACTAGATGGTACCCAGCTACTACTACCAAGTGCTCTGATAGGGATCACCTTAGAAGATCCTGGATAGAGTAGAGTGGCAGAAGATGGGGAACAAAACTCAAAACTATTTTTTAAAAACAAGATTGGGCTTGCTGGTCAGAAAGAGACTGGAGAAACCGAGACTATAGCTCTCAGCCACCCTTCAGGTCTGCACAGGAACTCATTCTTATGGCCCAACTTTCAGCAAACAGTAGATAGATTATAGATGGACCAACAACTCTAGTAAGGTATGCTCACTCTGAATGAATGGAACAGTCAATCATTCAAATTCAAAATGGCAACATGTACCTAAGGACAAAGTTGAGAATGGATGGAAAAGTGGGTGGAATGGAAATAGGAACCACGGTGAAAAAACAGGATAACTGTTGTTCCATGGAAGGGATTGTAATCATTGATGAAACAAAGGGTATTACTTGTTGAGTGTAAAACTGATCAGTTTTTCTGTAAACCTTCACTCAATTCACAATAAAAAATTAAAAAAAAAAAAAATTCAGGTGGGGGAAAAAAGAGGCTACAGAGCTACAATGTTAAACCGGTTGCTAGGTGCTGGTAACTAGGAGAAGAACCTCAATACCGTCCACATTGCAGTCTATTGCTTACCTGGGGACTCTTCAGAATGTTTAAGTATACACATGGATCAATTTCCAAATCACCAATTTACAAAACAAATAAGCTTATGAGCCTCTAGTTGTGAATACTCAAAAAGACCTTTCATTTTGAGAGGCAATAATGCCATACTAAGATGCTATTGGAGTCCTGGTGTGGCGCTAAAGGATAACCAGCAGACCACTAACCTTAAGGTTGGAATTTCAAACCCACCGGCTGCTACTTAGAAACCCTATATAGGGTTGCTATGAGTCGGAACCAATTTGACAGCACTTAACAACAAGAAGATGCTATTGATTGGGTAAAATGAGAATTTGAGCCCTGAAACCCAAGTCCTATGTCTGGGTTGGTGAGAGTCCACCTGTCCATGACAAATGCAAGGGTGAGTCACAAATTATCTGCACTTTAGCTGTAGAATTTATTTTAATCTACTTTTAGAAAACACAAATATATTATTTTTTGATATAACCTCCTTGCTTTTCAACACACTTGACTATCTATCAACAAGCTTTCATATTCCCTTTATTAAAAATGTTTCAGGCTGAGCTGTGAAGCCACTAATGCACCACTGTCTTCACTTCTTCATCAGAAGTGAATCTTTGCCCTTGAAGGGCTACTTTCAGGTGACCAAACAGGTGAAAGCCCAATGAAGCAAGATAAGGGCTATAAGGAGCATGCTTTAATGCCTCAAAAAGAAGATTGTGCAGAGTGTCAACAGTGTGGGCAGAGGCATGTGGAGGTACACTGTCATGCAAGATCACAATGCCCTTGAATAGCAGTCCTCTGCATTTAATCCCAAATTTAGGCTTCAGCTCTCCAGTGAGCATCTCACTAAAATGAGCATTGTTGATTGTTGAACCTTTTTCCTGTCAGTGTTATAATACTGGCCTTTGAGAATCTCAGAAAACTGTAAGCACCAATTTTCCAGCTAATGGTTGACTTTTTTTTTTTTTTTTAAGGTTTTTATTGTGGATTGAGTGAAAGTTTACAGGGCACATCATCAGTTTCACATTCAACCATTCTTATGACTTGTTTCATTACATTGATTATAATCCCCTCCATACATCATCAGTTAACAGTTAATGGTTGACTTTTGAACTTTTTCTTGGTCGGTGAGTGAGGATGTCTCCATTCCATACTTTGCTGTTTACTCTCAGGCTCATAGTGATAAATCCATGTCTCATAGCCAGTAAGGATTTTTTTTGTAAGAAACTTTTACCTTCCTTTGAGTATCATTCCAATTTTTTTTTGGGGGGGGGTGGGGGGCAGGTGTCCGAACACTTCTGTTTATGCTCTTCCATGAGTTCTTTTGAAACCCAAGTCTGTCCTGGATTATGTCATAGGCAGAAAGAGCCATGACTGATTTGCAAATGATTTGCCACATAATCCATTATCATTCATTTAATTGACAGAATCATTTCATGTGCACGCTAAATGTTGTCATCAGCCATGTATATGAACGGGTGTTTTAATATAACCGGAGTGTGGATAATTTTTGACTCACCCTCATATGTCCCCGCCTTCTATTCAGATCCCTTGGATTCATCTCTCAGGTACCCATCTCTCTCTGATTATCAGTAAATCTCAACATTGCTTTGAGTTTTTAACATTTTCTTCCATATCCAGCTTGTTTATCAGTCAATGTATAAAACTGAGGTATCACTGAAAACATTTTCTTGCTTAAAAAAAAATCTAGCAAAATGTAGTGGCTTTTCCTGAACTACATGTGTAGAAATTGTTGACTTGGTGAAGAAGAAAACGTTTGTTGGTTTTCATTATGTAACTTTCTGCTTCAGCTGTTCAAAGAGAAAGGTGCCACCGCTGAGCACATGAGGGAGAGTGATGTGCTTCTCAAAAGAAGAAAGCCAGTCCTTGTGGAGAAGGACTAGCTTTGCATTGAAAGTGCTTTTACCAGCCCTGTCCTTGCTCATAAAAGCCAAAAGTACTCCCCAAGTTATTATGAAGACCAAAAACTGTCCAGGAAAGCTTCACCAACCCAGGCTACGAACCAAGGGGCACTTGTGATCCTTAGTCATTTCAACACCCAAGTGAGTCCCAACTCAGTGGACTGAATCAAGTTTTAGACTTGACCAATACTCATAAAATCAGAATTCTGACCATGCCTTCATTGATTCCTAGTGACGAGTACTCACTAAAGATGTCATTTTTTAGCAGAGTGAAACTAAGCACTTCCTCCAAAAGACTGTAAACTGAATGGCACCTGCTCCCATTTGCAATCTATACGGTGGTTATTTGAACTTCAGCATGCAAACTCCAGTAAGGCCTGGGGCTTCGGAGCCTTCATACCTTCACTATGATATAGCTTGTCAGGGGTGCTTTTTAAGGCACAGAAAAAAGGAAGCAAAACCTCTTCTTAAGGGGCCCTTTGTTTGGGGTAGCTTAGAGGAGTGCTGGCATGGCACTACAGGATAAGCCTTGGACTGTGAACTACAAGGTCAGCAGTTCAAACTCACCAGCTGCTCCTTGGAAACCCTATACAGGGCCACTGTTTGGAACCGACACAACAGCGCTTAACAAAAACATTTGTAGGCTATAGCAACTTTCTTTCCCTGATAAGTCTTTTTTCTTTTTATGTTCCCTTTAAGCTGCTTTAAAAAATAACCAACATAATTAAATTTAGTATACTTTGCTCTGAAAGGGTTTTCACAGAGGGTGCTTTTTTTTTTTTTAATTGGAAAAGGCACTTAGCTATTCTAAATCATTAAGTAATAGCTCCTCAGTTCCAATTTATAAGTGTTTCCAAATAGACTTCAGCTTTCCAAGTCTTAACTTAGTACTTTGGAAAAGAGGATGGAGAAAGTATTTGAATTTCTTCTTGGAGAAGCCAGCTTCGGTAACCTGGGTATGTTTCTAATTTGCTTAAGCTGAAGTACAGATGTGTGAAAAAATACTCAGTACATGAAAGAACAAAATTGTGAGAAAATAAAAGCATACAGGGTTTTTCGTGTTTTTAAGGAAAACTCAGTCAGCTAAAATATACAGAGTACTAACAGTTTCATGTACCTCAGGAGTCAAATTATTTAAGTTTATATAAAACCAATGATAACAACAGATTTTCTGTGTACATACTTTTCTCAGTTGTGAAATCTACTAATTTTAACAACATAAGTCAACATACTCTGGTGTATTAGAAAATATTTTCTTGTGTAAATAGTGCTATTGATCCTACACCACTGAATGAATGTGTGTTCATTCCTTTGAGATTAAGCATGCAGTCTAACATTGCCGATGAAAGAGAAAAGGCTGGATTTATTTCTTACCGAAGTTACTGGAACAATAATTGCTCTCCAGAGTCCCAGTTCGCCTGCATTTCTGTTGACACAGGGCCACAGTGGGTTTTAAACCTAATTCAGAGAAAGAAGACTAAAGATTCAGGAAGATAAATTCAAGTGTACTCAGTGCTTAAATCAGCCTCTACCAATTTCCAATTCCCATCTACTTCCCCGAGCCACTCATCTGTCATTGCAGCGAAATCATTAAAAAGCAAGCAGAAGGCATTCTTCATGCTTCAGCTACCGCTCTCATTTCCACTTCATGTCCTCTAGTGAATTTTAAACCTGACATCAAAAATAACCTAAATTTAGCCCGGTTCTCTTCTTCCTTTTTATATATAACTAATACTGTACCCAAAAATAGATCTATGGTTCCTGAGTGTCCTGCTTAGAAAAATCTAGCATGAGAAATCTGAATTCAGAAAACACAGGGTAATTCTTCATTTAACGAAAGGAATTCTAAGAATCGGATGTTCCCCCTGAGGACACTGGGAGCTCTGTTGCTATATTTGAAATCTGATGCAATTGTGCAAATATGAGCAGGACAATGTTTTTAGAAACTTAGCTCATCTGTAAAATATGTTAATACCTGTAATTAGATGCAACCCATCACTAAATATTTACCTTAATCCTAGTGCTGTCTATAAGGACCTTAATAACTGAGAAAAAGACAAATTTAAAAACAAACACAAGCAGACTAACTCGTGAGTTTCAACTGGAGGTGATTTTTTTCCCCCTCTAGGTGACATTTGGTAATGTCTGAAGGCATTTTTGATGATCACAACCAGGGTGTTGGGGTGGAATAGGAGAATGCTACTGTCATTTAGTGGGTAGAGCCAGGAGTGTTGCTAAACAGCCAACAAATATATAGAACAGTCATCCACAACAAAGAATTAGCTAGCTCAAAACATTCTGAGGTTAAGGAACCATGGGTTTACATAGTGAAATATTTAATCCCTGTTATGTGACACTGTAGGATAAGCATTGGACTGCAAACAACAAGGTTGGCAGTTCAAACCCACCAGCCACTCTTTGGAAATCCTGTGGTGGTTGTTAAGTGACATCAAGTTGTTTCTAACCTGGCGATCTATTCCCGTGAAGATTCTAAAAAGTATAAAATCAAAATGGATTGCTGTCCAGTTGATTCTGACTCGTAGAGACCCTCTAGGGCAGAGTAGAACTGCCCCATAGGGTCTCCAAAGCTGTAGTGTTTCCGGAAGCAGATTGTCACATCCTTCTCTCACAGGCCTTTCAGTTAGCAGCCAAGTAAGTACTTAACCACCGTGTCACCAGGGCTCCTTCTTGTAAAGACTTACAGTCTAGAAAATCCTATAGGGCAGATCTACTCAGTCACATGGGGTTACTATGAGCCAAAAACCTACACAACTGTACCTAACAACAATAATCACGTAAAAAATGTTTCAAAAATATTTGCTAAGGCAGTATGCTAGGTAGAACTAAACAAATCAAATGTAAAAGAATTGCATTTTGGGGTTTTTTTTGGTTAAAAAGTTGCAATTACAATATTGCCTTTTAGTATGTTCAGCCAACTTCTCTATGAATTGATCATTTATTTAATTTATTTTTAATTTGTACCCTAAAATTCAGACAACAGTTGCTGCTGTATCGAGTCCAACTTATTAAGCCCACATGCGTGTCTGAGTAGAGATAACCCAAACTCCATTGGGTTTTCAATGATTGATTTCATTTTTAGAGTAGATCACCAGATGCCTGTAGGTGGACTTGAACCTCCAACCTTTCTGTTAGCAATGAGCGCATCAAACTCTTACACTACTCAGGAACCTCGTTTTGTCCCCTTACTTACCAAAAAGGTTCTGAAGTGATTTATAGTATTAAAGCATATACAATTCAAATGTTAAACTACATATAGGAGCTTAAATATGTATCTTTTTTAAACACATAGCTCAGAAAATAAAAATTTAGAGGGAGAGACATTCTATTCATTGTTCTAGAAGTTGGCACATGACTTTGGCACTGCATCTGAAGAATTAGCTGTCAAAAAGTAGGGACATTAGGGATCCGCCTCATTTGCTGAAAGAGAGCATCTGTTCTTGTGGGCTGTTGGAGAACAGCTCCTCTGAACCTCAGAACTTCAGTCTGGAAGTTGGGTGGGTGTCATCTCCACGTTCTCATCCTTATGCCATCAATGACACCATCCTCTCCTCCTTATCTTACTGTACCATCTACTGCCCTGCACTGCCCAACGTGGCCACCTGGCTCACAGCCTTCCTTGTATCCTTCTTGCCATCCCAGTAGCTCCAGTCTACTTGTGGATGATCCCTCTCAGTCTACCTCGAGGACTTTCAAAAACTGTTCCTTTAAAGACTCTTGGTTCTATGCTTGCATATCCTTATACTAAAGTCTTTCATCACCAAACTCTCAAAAAATTCAGACATATTACTATCCAGAACAATGTCTTCTCCTTTACCTTATTATTTAATCATGCTCATAACTATTTTCCTTTGAAGCTTCAATACATTGACCCCCTTACGTTTCAAATCCATAAGACCTGCCATATCTGTATATCCTTAGCTATCCCATGTGCCATTATTACACAATAATTTCTTGCCAATAATTTAAACTCTCTTTCCCTTCTATTCTTTTGTAGCTCTTCACTGGTAAACAATCAACTCTGTATGCATCTCTATTTTTTCTGTGCTTGCTCCCAAACAGTTAAGTACACACGGGACCCTCAGCAAAGTAACAGGCTCTTTTACGGATCCGCTCACGCTCCAATTTTCCACAGGTGTTTTCATGTGTTTCTTATTTTCCTAACCTCCTGTGTCCTCACCTCCCTTCTCATTCTCAGTAGGCAACCTTGGCTATTTTCTAGGAGAATAGAGACCATAGCAGAAAATGTCCTCAAGATCCCACCTAGTCTCCAAAGCATCTTTTCCCATGCCTCTCTCTCTTCATTTCCTCCCTGACAGAGGAGGTTGTCCCAGAACTGTTTAAGGTCAATCTACTTGGGAGTCCTTGGGAGGCCAGCTACTCCCTCCTTTGTAGAAACTTTTTCCCCCTCTGGCTGCCATATGTTCACCTTCTTCTTTGCTGGCTATTTCTCATCAGGATTAGCATGTTCAAGTCACCCTCATAACTGTTCTTTTAGAGCCAAACTTGTGGAAGAAGTTGCTGGCACTTACCATCTCAATTTCTTCAGCCTGTTCTATTACCGCCAGCCTACTCTTGTCTTCTGCCTTCACAACTCTGCTCATATAATCCTTGCTAGGACCTTCAGTTAAGGAGCGCTGGTAGAGTAGTGGTTACGAATTGGGCTGCGAAGCTCACGGTCAGCAGTTCAAAACTACCAACTGTCCCTTGGGAGAAAGATGGGGCTTTCTGCTCCCATAAAGATTTATAGCCTTGGAAACCCTGTACAGGGTCACTATGAGTCGAAACCAACTCCACGGCATATAACAACAACAGGACGTTCAGTAGTCTCCATATTACTACATCAAATGGGAACATTTCGATGCTTCTCTTTTTAACCCTTTAAGGATCCATGGAGGTATGTAATGCCCACCTACATTTTTTGCCTCTAGGATTTAGTGAGAAGTTGTTATTCCACTTTTAGTGTGTACTGCCATTGGGTGGAAGTTTGTATAACTGCATGGATCTGAAGAAATAGAACTCATTCCACCAAACTCAATATGAGAGACCCTTTGAGACATATGTAGCCCACTAATTGTATAAAAATCTGTATTACCTCACAAAAGTTTTTTCCCCTGTTTCATTCAAAATGCCTTCCATTACTGAAAACACATGGTTTCAACCAAAGATTAAATTCAGAATACCAGTCAGTCTTGAAAAGGGTTAAAGTCTTGTCAAAACTTGACCCTACTGACCACTGCCTTCTTAAAACAGTCTCTTTCCATGGCTTTCATGATACCTGCTCCTGATATCCTCCCTCCTCCTAGGTGTTCTCTCTCAGTCTCCTTTCCCAGCATATTCTCCTTCAGAAAATCGAGTTTTTCTTAGTATTAATCCTAGGCCTTCTTCTCCTTTTACCCTAAACCTTTCCCTAGGTAATTTCATACTGGATCATGCTTCCAATTGTCATCTGTATGCTGAAGACTCTCACACTTATATCTCTTGTTCAAATTTCTCTTCTGACCTGAGGCATATACCTAACTACCTGTACAACATCTCCATTTGAATAGCTTACAGACACCTCAAGCCCAACAAAACCATAGCTGAACTCATGAATCTACTTCCAAACTGAGTTCTCTACCTCAGTGAGTGGTACCTCTACACCCAAGTTGTGCAAGTTCACAGACCTGGGTCCATTCTTGACAAAGGTCGATCAGGAGCTCCCACTCATCTCTTGGATAAGTCTGTATATCTGCCATAGCACAGTTCATCTGGATAGTCACAAGAAACTGCTGATGCTCTTGACTCCTACAATCCAATCATTTTAGAGAAGCCAGAGCGATCTTCCTAAAATGCAGATCTGACCTTAAACTTTGTTTAAATCCACCAGCAGCTTCCCAACACTGTGATAAAACCCAAAATGCATAGACTTTAATGAAAGATATAGTAGTCTGAAGATGAAATGAGAAGCTGGGAACAAAGTGGGAAGGGTCTTACCACATGAATGAGTTTTGGCTCCTGTGCTGTCCAATATGGTAGCCAATAGCCACATGAGGCTATTATGATTAATTAAAATGGAATTTAAAAAATTCAATTCCTCAGTCTCATTAGTCACATTTCAAGTGGCCAGTAGTGGCTACCATTACTGCACAACACAGGAAATATGTACAATTTTATGTTTACAGTTTAGAAAAAATACTACTGTAGTTTTTACTTCTGGTCCTAAACTCAGAGAATGCTTAGGAACAGAAGTAAAAGCTAAGGTAGTATCAGCAGCATGAGTGAGATCATGTAATTCAATGGAAAAAATATGGACACCAGGATCTATTGAAATGAGCTGGAGAGAGGTTTAACACAAGGCAGTACACTTCCGGGCCACAAGATGGCACACTTGTGGAAAACTCAGAAAAATCAGGCTGTCTAGCAATGGTTGTATTACCTACAGCTCTAGCCAAGGTGCATGCAGAAAACAGTGAAAAGGCTGGATTTATTTCAGTTACCTGGGCTTGGATTTTTAGATTTGAGACTGGAAATCCCAGTAGGTGGAATTGACGCAATATAGAGGATAGATAGGGAAGGACCCACCCCTGCCTCTCCATTTCTAAGATCAAATACATCTCTCAGACCAGAGACTCCCAGCTGATTTCTATAATCATGGAGGATGGCACTGGCTAGTTCAAGGAATGGTGGCTGTGTTCTGTGGAGTCGATTCCAACTCATAGCGACCCTGTACAGGGTTTCTGAGGCTGTAAATCTTTACGGGAGCAGAAAGCCTCATCTTTCTCCCACAGAAAAGCTGGTAGTTTCGAACTGCTGTCCTTGCGGTTCGCAGCCCAATTCGTAACCACTACACACCAGAGCTCCTTAGTTCAAGGAATATCTCCATATAAAATATATTTTCTTTGATATACTCTAAATTAGGCACCCTGGTAGCACAGTGGATTATGAGCTGGGTTGCTAACAAGGTCAGCAGTTTGAATCTATCAGTCACTTTATGGGGGAAAGAGGAGGCTTTCAGTAAAAATTTACAGCCTCAGAAATCCTATCCAGGGTTGCTGAGTTGGAACCAACTCCATGGCATACAACCACCACCGCCATACTCCAAATTGAAAACATATTATCACATGTAGCACATTTTGGAGAGAAGGAAAAACACCTAAATGAAACATTAGCAAATGTGAAAACAGACAAGCATCAAGGTCCTAGCATGTTAACCTAAATAATGATGAATCTTTGTGATAAAACGAAAATCATAATTTTCTGCCAAAAAGAAAACATGCTGTGCCTATAATAGATTTTTTACAAATCTTGTGGGCATACATTTTTTTAGTGACATTTAAAAGTGATTTGCTTATAAACATTCTTTCATACTTACCTTACTGTCATTAATGAATCATATTATTGTTACATATTTTTTCATGTAAGATAATTTTCCCAGTATTTTCCTCTTACTTAATTTTTTTCATCTTCAACATAATTTTTCTCCCAAAGTGCAGAAAACCTCAAAACAGAAAAACTTACCTGTAGTTACAGGTGGGGTGGTAGTGATAGGGAGTGCTGTAGTTGTAGGCAGTTTTTTGGGCCTGAATTTGTAGTGACCAATAAATCCATCTGCAGTTAAACTTAAGTCTGATAAAAACTGAATGAGAAGTTCATTTCTCTCTGATACAATTGGCCTAAAAGAAGAAAAACATCTATATGTTATATATATGTGTGGGTGAAATCTCTGAAGTGTGACACTCTCACTTCCCATTCATATTTGACATTAGATTATCATTTGTCATTTGTTTAAACTTAAAAGCTCAAACACTTTGAAAGGTGAAAGTCTCAGTCTGCTAAATATTAATGCTAGAAGTTATTATTTATCAAGTGTTTGCATACCCAGACGTTGTACTTGACGTGAATTGTTCTCTTCCATCTTTATAACATACCATTAACAACCTGCGATATGCAGATGATACATCCTTTTTCACTGAAAGTGAAAAGTTTTATAACTTAAAATACTGAATTAAGATTAAAGACCATAGCCTTCAGTATGGGTTGCACCTCAATGTAAAGAAAACAAAAATCCTTAACCACTGGACTAATAAACAAGATCCATATTAATGGAGAAAAGATTGAAGTTGTCAAAGATTTCATTTTGCTCAGATCAACCATTAACACTCATGGAAGCAGCAGTCAAGAAATCAAATGACCTGACCTGCTGCATTAGGCAAATCTGCTGCACAAGACCTCTTTAAAGTGTTGAAGGGCAAAGATGTCATTTTGAGGACTAAGGTGCACCTGACGCAAACCATGGTATTTTCAGTCACTTCATATGCATGTAAAAGTTGGACAGTGAATAAGGAAGCCTGTAGAAGAAATTATTCATTTGAGTATGGTGTTAGAAGAGAATATTAAAAGTACCATGGACTGCCAAAAGAACAAACAAATCTGTGTTGGAAGAAGGACAGCCAGAATGCTCCTTGGAAGCCAGAATGACCAGACTTCATCTCTCATACTTAGGACATTGTCAGGAGGGTCCAGTCACTGGAGAAAGATATTATATTTGGTAAAGTGGAGGGTCAGAAAAAAAGAGGAAGACCCCCAATGAGATGGATTAGCACAGTGGCAGCAGCAGTGGGCTCAAATGTAGCCATGATTGTAAAGTTGACATATAGTGCATAAGGTCGCTATGAGTTGGTACTGATTCGATGCCATCTACCAACAACAACCATCTTTATGACAAGCCTATTATCATTCTATTTTATGGAGTAGATGCCTGAAGGTCAGAGAGTTCCAGTTATTTGCCTAAGGTCCCGCAGTTAGTATATGGGGGAGTCATAATTTGAATCCAAGACAGGGAGACTGTGGTAGACACTGTGACCAGTGCAGATACTGAAGCTGTGGTTGGTTTTCTACAGTCACCTCAGAGTTTGGCCTGACTTGGGACTGCCAAAAACGTCTTTAAATTAAGACTATGGATCCAAACTGAACAAATTTCCACACCCCATGAAGACAGAGTCTGAGGGGCCATCTCAGTGTGCTGGCTTCCCAGGGATGAGAACGTCAAGCTGAATGTAAGAGAGACTTCTATTTCATGTGTACTGGGCATTCTCATAATTGTCTACAATGTAAACATTTCTGCTTTTGATTTCCACAGCAAAATCAAGGTAGAAGAACAGGTAGAAAATGATTACCTGTCTGAGGGATCATGGGCAGTATCATTAAGAACTAATTTAAAAGCAGCTTTAGAGTTTAAAATTTAGATTAGTTGGTACTAAAGATTTAGTGGGAAGAAATGAAGCTCAGAAGTTCTCCTAAGCCTTAGAGGTAGCTCTATTCTATAGGACAGTAAGTTTCATTTAAGCTTTAACTGTTATTATTTAAACAATGGTAAAAAGACATGTCAGTTCATTTAATTCTATTTAAAACTAACTCAGGACTGGAAAAAATTCAACAAGTTTTTAAACGGGATCAATTGCTTGTTTGACTAAACAAACTCCTTTTTGGAAGCAACTGCCCCCTGGAGACAACTTCCCAGACAAGGCATCATGGACAGCTAACAATGAACCAACTCATTTTCCCTATCAGTCACAGAGATGGAACATGCTTAATTCATAGTTCCAGACACACAGTGGCCTATATCATTTAAATAAAGCTTCTGAAAATCAAGCCCGTAACAGAAATAGTCTAGTTTGTCTTTGAAAAACTCATTCCATTCAGTAAGAAAGGTAAACTAAACACAATCTTATCTAAAACCACAAATAAAACATGCTAATCTTATTTAAATCATAAAATTACAAAATGCACTCATCAAAGGCAGTAAAGGAAACCTTAAGAACCAACAAGGTCTGGGCATGATGTTCTAATTCTAGTGATTATTCATTGCCTTTTCTATGATGTAATTGCGATATATTATACCAGAAATTTAATTTTCTCAAAGAAGAGTATTTTAGTAACAAATGTTTTTGTTCTGTTGCTACTGAGTTTCAATAAATGTGGCAGACTCCCAATACCATAGATGTACAGAGGACCATGTGTTGCATTTACAAATTAATGTTACAGCAAGTCACTGGAAAGGCAAGAGAAAATCTCACTCAACTGCATCCATTCTGTGCTGGCAAATCCCAGAAATGGATTGAAGATGCTGTTTCATGTCTTCTAACTGAGCTGTTTCTGGTTTGTCATTCTACTGTCTTCCTTCTCTTGCAATAACTACAGCCCATCAGCTACCACATCCCATCATTCTTCCCACCTAAATATTTCCTCAATCTGTTGTTGTTGTTAACAGTTATAGTGACCCTGTATAGGGTTTCCAAGGAGTGGCTGGTAAGTTTAAACCGCCAAACTGCTCTTGCGGTCAAGTGCTTATCCTACAACGCCACACCAGGACTTCCTGAATCTACATCCGCCTTTATTCCTTACCATCCTGCACTACTTTGGATCCTCCTTGGACTCTTACCTGGACCCTGTGCTCATGTTATCTAGAGTGGGGTTTTAGAGCCATGGGCCATGGCTAGATAGAGACCCACCCTTGCCTCTTGATTTCTAAGCTACGCCTCAGATGTGAGCTGTTCAACACCACCCTCCATCACCTAGCCTGACCCGCAATCAGCTGACAACAATACAGCTACAGCAGTTTTCCTTCAGTTAACATTTGCTTCACGTTATTTTTCAGGGAATGTGTCGTGTAAACAACCTATCTGGATTTTGCTTTGTTATCTCATCTAACAATCCTTGTCTTTTAAAGGTCAGTGACCTGGTCCAGTCACATTTACTTTTTAATTTAGTAACATATTATTGTGTCTTTAGTGAAGGTTTACACAGCAGCCAGTGTTCCCATTCAACAAGTTGTTCTGTAACATTGGCTACATTCTTGATAATGTGTGAGTATTCTCATGATTTCCATTCAGTTGTTTCCATTCATCTAGTTTCCCTATCTGCTTATGTCCTCATCTTTTTTTTTTTTAAAGTATTTGTTGACCAATTGGTCTATTTGCATTTATTTTGATTGTTGTTGTTGTTAAGTACCGTGGAGTTCTGTTCTGACTCATAGTGAGCCTGCACAGGGTTTCTGAGGCTGTAAATCTTTATGGGAGCAGAAAGCCTCAGCTTTCTCCCGCGGAACAGCTTGTAGTTTTGAACTGCCGACTTTGAGGTTAGCAGCCCGATTCGTAATCAACTATATGCTACCAGAGCTCCTTTTTACAAACCAATAAACCCACTGCCATTTCCAAGACTGTAAATTGTTACACAAGCAAACTGCTTCATCTTTCTCCCATGGAACAGCTGGTGATTTGAACCATTGACTGTTATGCTTAACCCACTGTAACACCAAGGCTTCTATTTTCATTATAGAATGATCTAAAATTAGATAGATCTTATTTCATGCTTTCCATCTATCCTGACTTTTTTGTTTGTTTCCATTTTTCTCCTTTCTCGCTTTCTTTTCGATTAAACTGTTTTTCTCACCTTGTGTTTTTCCTTCACTCTTGTAAGTTAAAGACTCTTTTTTTAACTTTCTCAGTGGTTACCCTGAATTTAATGTCTGCATACCAGATATAAACCAGTTAAAACTGAAAAATACTTTAACTCAAATGTTTCTGTGGAAGATCATAGGAATTCTTATAAAATCAATTAATACATAGAATTTCTCTTTAAACAAAGAGTAGAAATGAGTATTTAAATTGGCATTGAGTGGTAAATGGCACCTTTGAAGACAAACTGTAGTAATTTCAATGACTGTTTATATCAGTATTGTATATAAAAGTGGGATATGTCTTATACCAAAATAAGTTGTGTATTGCACCAAAATACAGCATAGACGAGTTACTTGCCTAGGCCGGATAGCTAATAAGTAGAAGAGTTCTTACCTCCATTAATGTTTGATGAAGAAACATACTATGCCTTTAAGGCCCACTCATCAACAATTTGGGCAACAATGTGAGGAGAAGGCACAGGTGCTACTTGAAAATGCTATAGAACACAATTCTACTCTGAGTTCCATAGGTTACCATGAGACAGAATCTACTCAAAGATGACTGGTTTTGTCTTGTTTTACTTACGCTGGTGGACTGTCACCACAATATTTTCCAATTCTTTTAGCATCGTTGACTTCTCCACCATTATACACAGCCACATAATCATAACGGCAGTAGTTATCTCTCTCAACATCAAATTTCTCGAACTTTAGTTCTATAAGCTGCAGAGAAAGAAAGCACAGCATTGTTGTTGTTGTTGTTAAGTGCCATCGAGTCGGATCTGACCCATAGTGAACCTGTATAGGGTTCCCAAGGGGTGGCTGGTGAGCTTGAACCGCTGACTTTGTGGTTAAATGACTTTGCAGTCCAGCACATTAGCCCACAGCGCCACACCAGGACTCCAGCACAGCATTAGAAGTGTCAAAATAGCATTACTGATGAATCTCAAAGGCAATTCTTCCCTAGTTTTGTAGTGTACAATTTCCCTTTATAGAAAAATGTATTCATTCTCTTTAAATTATTTTTTTTCTTGTTGCATACTTATTTAATTAACAAAATTGTGGCATTCTTTTTGTTTTTGCTTTTTATTGTGAATTGGGCAAAGGTTTACAGAGCCAATCATCCGTTTTACAGTCAGCAAGTCATACATATTGTGTTTCATCTCATCGATTGCAATCCCCACAATGTAACATCATTCATTGTCAGTCTTTCCAAGCAGATCATCTTAACCCTAGAGCAATCCTACTTAGCATCTCACATTTGGAAGCTCTGTCCGTTTATAGCCACAAAGTATGCGAACATTATATAATCCTGGCAACCTGCATAAGACAGTAATTGGGAGGGTCCTGGAGTGGGAAGGGGGCCTGTATACCAACTTCACTCTATCTCGAAGAAAGCTAGTAGAAAAAGATATTACATAAGATATTTCCTATATTGGTGTGTATTAGGATGTGTGCTCTGTGTGTGTGTGTATAATTCATAGCTGAACAGAGTTTTTCCCCTTCTCACAGAAGGACTCTGGCATTCCAGTTCCATTTAAAGAACTCAAATAATTATTTTAGGGCCAGGGGTTCAGTGACTTGGGCATTGACTGTGACATCTTGCAGTTATGTGTGAAAGGTGTGCACGCTCAGCACAGCCTCCTCGGTCATGTGGCTGACTTCTGAAAAGGCTGAATTAGTAACACTGGCACCTGAAGAAGTCAGTGTTAGGATTCTTAAGTAGTTTCTTTTTCTTTTCTTAATGTAGAGGTTCCTTCTCCATCTCTCGCTCTCTCTTAAATTTTATTGTGGTGAAATATACATAAAACGAAAGATTGCTATTCTCACCATTTGACCATTTTACAGTTCAGTAACATTGTTATTTACCACCACTGCTATCCATTGCCAAAAAGTTTGACCTTTCCTGAAACAGATATGCAGTAACAGCTCCTTCAGCAACAATTTCTATTCTCTCTTCCCCCAGGCCCTTGTCGTTGTTAAGTGCTGTCCAGTCAGTTCCAACTCATAGCCACCCTATTGTATAGGGTTTCCGAGGAACAGCTGGTGGGTTTGAACCACTAATTCTGTGGTTAGCAGTCCCCTGCTTATCCTATAGCACCACACCACAACACCACTGGTACATTTTTGTCTCTATGAATCTGCCTACTCTATATATTTCATATCATATTTGTCTTTTTATGTTTGACTTATTTCACTCAACATAATGTTGTCAAGACTCATTCATGCTGTAGCATATATCATATTTCATTTTGAGTAATATTCCATTGTGTGGATATGCCACATTTGTTTATTCATTCATCTTAGGACACTTAGGTTGATAAACAGATTTTTCCAACATCTCCAATGCAAAACATTTCTCTGTGTTCATAAGTATCCATAGTGCCCAGACAGCTGGTATCCACTCTTGTTGGGTGCCAGGTGAGTAGGCCATCCTACCTTCTGCTTCAGGGAAACACATGGCATTAATTACTGCTTGGACAGTCATATAGTTATTAGCGAAAGAAGACTTCTACATAGGAATCTGGATAAAGATGGTATTAGCAACAGTATCACAGATGGACACAAAGGTACATTTTGACTTTGAACGTAATCGTCACCAGCATCTACATATTAAGCAACCTTTTCAAGAAGTCAGCACCAGCAATGGATGGAATAATGGTGGATTCCTACTTTACACGGTTTTAGATCTTATTAAAATATTTCCTCTTTGGATCCAGTGATTTCTCACCACTTTCTAATAAAAATGCTTTCCAGGTTATTAAAGAATTGGCTGAACTTTCTCTACTTAGAAATTAGTCACATAACAACTTTTGGAGACAAGTTTGTGTTTTGTTCTTTTCTTTTTTTAAGTAAGTAAAAGGGAGAATGACAGAGAAATCTATGATAAAATTGAGGGCAAGTCTGTAATAGAAAAGAATTTCCATAGCTTTTAGGTAGGATTCAATCTTCCTATTATATTTCTTTCTTTGGGTAACAGTGCTCAGTGATTCAGACACTACAACAATTATTTAAAATCTTGATTGATTGAAGATAAACATCACATTAACAAACAAAACCCAAATTGAAATTGAAATAATCAAAGGGGAAAGCAATGAAAAGGAGATGCTGAATTATAATCTGCAAGTATAATTAAATTGGAATTACTTGGTCTAATATGTTTACAAAGGAGCCCTTGTGGTTTAAGGGTTAAGCACTAGACTGTAACTGAAAGATCAGTAATTTGAAACCACCAGGGGCTCAACGGGAGAAAACACCTAGAGATCCGATTCCATAAATACGTTTTTGTTGTTTAGTGACATTGAGTTGGTTCTGACTCATAGTGACCCTGTTTAGGTTTTCCCAGGAGCAGCTGGTGGATTTGAACTTCCAACCTTAAGGTTCAAACCAGCCTTGCGGGCCAGAGCTTATCCTATAGCTCCACAACAGGACTCCATAATGATATAGCCTAGGAAAGCCTATGAGGCACTTTTATATTATATTTGGAGCTCTGGTAGCATAGTGGTTATGAATCGGGCTGCTAACCTCAGGGTCAGCAGTTCAAAACTACCAGCTGTTCCACAGGAGAAAGATGAGGCTTTCTGCTCCCGTAAAGATTTATAGCCTTGGAAACCCTGTACAGGGTCGCTATGAGTTAGAACCGACTCTATGGCACATAACAACAACAACAACAACATAGGAGTCTTGGAGTCCTGGTGTGGTGCTGTGGGTTAATGCACCAGACTGCAAAGCCGTTTGAACTGCAAGGTTGGCGGTTCAAGCTCACTAGCTGCTCCTCAGAAACCCTATATAGGGTCGCTAAGGGTCGAAATTGACTCATCGGCACCCAACAACAACAATAGGATCACTATGAGTCAGAATCAACACCACAGCATATAACAACAACAATTTATTTACAAATGTAACAGAGAGCAAAATGACTCATATACTTTAAAGGTAGTATGTTGTTGTTATGTGCCATGGAGTCGGTTCCGACTCATAGTGACCCTGTACAGGGTTTCCAAGGCTGTAAATCTTTACAGGAGCAATTGTTTAAATGTTGGAGGAATGAAATTTTTAAAATGTTATCCTGTGCTATAAAATGTTCAATAGCTTTACAGAATCAATGGTCATCTTTTCCTTTGAAAAAATAAAGCTGAGTTTTGAGATTATGTTCATGTTGTTGTTATTAGGTGCCATGGAGTCAGTTCTAACTCATGTTGTTGTTGTTATGTGCCGTGGAGTCAGTTCCGACTCATAGCGACCCTGTACAGGGTTTCCGAGGCTGTAAATCTTTACAGGAGCAGAAAGCCTCATCTTTCTTCTATGGAACAGCTGGTAGTTTCGAACTGCTGACCTTGCGGTTCACAGCCCGATTCATAACCACTCTTCCTTGTATAGGGTTTCTGAGGCTGGAAATCTTTGTGGGAGCAAAAAACCTCATCTTTCTCCCATGAAGTAGCTGGTGAGCTTGAACCACTAACATTGTGGTTCTCAGTCCAGTGCTTATCTTACTCCCCATGTTTAAAGGCAGGTTTAAATCACTCACACTCATGGCATGTTTGCCTGAATAATTTTCCATGAAAAAAAAGAATATATGGCAAATATATTTGTGCCAGCTATATATGAAAGATCAATTTATAACTATTTGTAAACATATCGTACTGCTCATTTTATAGTGTTTAGATTAAGAGTGATAGTGTAATAATAAAAAATTTAAGCCATTTAAAAAAATTCACAAAGTAGGCTACATTTTTGTGAATTTAAAAAATGATTTAAAATTATTATCTATATCTTTATGGAAACAGATTGCCATAAGAATAACAATTATGATATTATTTTTAAATACTGTTATAAACTGATCCTTCACATAACTTGCACACACACAAAATATCCACAAAGTAGGCTACATCTGAAGACATAGTGTGATACTGTAGGCTAAGCAGTGGCCCACTAACAGCAATTAGCAGCATCAGAAACCCTATGTAGGGTCACTACGAGTCAGAACTGACTCGAAAGCACTTAACAACAACAACAGGCTATATCTAATATTATGCCAAATTAATATCTGAAAATGGTTTCCAGAAAGGACAGAAATTCATATAACCACAAGTTAATAAACACTGAAAAATGAGACCTTCTTTATTGGTTGTTTTAAAGCAACAAATAAAGCTTTTTGTGGGGAACCTACCAACTTTTCTCAGAAACAACTAGAAGAACCCAGAGCAGATCAGCTTTCATGTCAGACACCTGGTCTGTGAAGAGAAAATGTGGCTTACGTAGACTTTGTTGCTGTATAGTCTTTGGGCTGGTTATGATTATCTTGGAGCCCTGGTGATATTGTAGGATAAGCACTGGACTGGTAACTACAAGGTTAGCGTTCAAACCCACCAGTTTCTTTGATGGCGTCTGCTCCTGTAAACATTTACAGTCCAGGAAACTATACAGGGTCGCTATGAGTCGGAATTAACTCAATGGCAGTGAGTTTATTTTTTATTTTTTATGACTATTATCAGGACAGGAGTTCTAGTACGATGCTGTAGGATAAGCACTGGACTGCTAACTGCAGGGTAAGTGGTTCCATCTCACCAGTTGCTCCTCAGAAACCCTACATAGGGTCTCAATGAGTCAGAACCAACTCAATGGCACTTAACAATTATCAGGACAAGGTGGGTTTACTACATGAGCAAATGGTTCCCTAAGTGTACATGTACTTGGCACTTATGTCCTCCCATAGGTAGCCATTGCTGTTTTTAACACCAAGTGCTACCTTCTGCAGGGTCAAAAACCTTACATGGAATTTCCTTACCATTTGTATTTTTAAAACCTGCTTTGAATATTTTAGTTATAGAATAAGACATTAAATCCATGACTTTGCAAGTCAGATAGTGCAAAGGGAAGCTTTAATCTGAGTCTAAGCATGAAGAAACACCTGTGTCTACCCAGGCCTTCCTCTCCCTGCATCCTTAGTTCTCTAACAACCCCAAACTTGAGACTCTTGAAAGTTGGCCTACTCACACTGGCTGGGCAGTTCACTCATGCATGCTCTTCTCACAAGAAAATGTGTTGTGAATCTTAACCTGTAAACTTGATGCTATTTAGGAATAGAGCATTCTTTTTTATATAATGAGGCCAGTCACTTTTGGGATATATAAATAGATTAGGCACAGAAGCAAGGAAGTACAGAGAAAGATTAATGCCATTTGAAGATCACCAAGGAACTGAAGATTTCCTTTGGGCATAGATTTGGAAGAAGAAAGCATTTTTTCTAGAGTTGTTGTTAAGTGCTGTGAAGTCAGTTGCAACCCATAGCGACCTTGCATAGGGCTTCTAGGGAGCAGCTTGTGAACTTGAACCATCGACCCTGTGGTTCAAACTGACTTTGCAGTCCAGCACATTAACCCACAGCTCCACAGCAAGACCTCTTCTTCTTGAGTTGTTGTTGTTATGTGCCGTGGAATTGGTTCTGACTCACAGCCACCCTGTACATGGTTTCCGAGGCTGTAAATCTTTACGGGAGCAGAAAGCCTCATCTTTCTCCCACGGAACAGCTAGAGTAGGTGCCCTGAATTTGGAATCCTAGCCAAAAGCTTGGTGCTTTGAACCCAATTGAGGTCTTCAAAGAAAGACCTACCTAGCTGCTTCCAAAAGGTCTCAGCCTTGAAAACACTGTGGAGCAGTTCAGCTTTGCACACATGGACCGTCTTGAATCAGAATCAACTCAAGAACAACTAATAATGACAGCGAGCCTCTTGAACTGTGAGAAAATAAAGTTCTGTTTGTCAAAGCCTCCCACTTGTGATATTTCTGCTGCCGCAGCACTAACAAACAACTACACTTGCATTCCTCACATCTTCAGGGACTCTTACCTGGTTCTTCGGGGCTACAATGTGCCACACGCAGGTGACTCCCGCAGGGTAATCACGGTCAGGCCAGTTGGGCGTTTTAAAAGAGCCAGAAGGTCTTTCCAGGCGTCCTCCACAATACTGATCCCCTAAAAGGATTAAATATGAGAAGGACAGCGTATGTTTTAGACTAGAACTACATGGAGATTAGTAATTTTGGGTACTGGGTCATGTTGTTGTTGTTGTTATGTGCCATGGAGTTGGTTCCGACACATAGCGACCCTGTACAGGGTTTCCAAGGCTGTAAATCTTTACGGGAGCAGATCATAGTATACCAAATATAAGGAGCTCTGTTAGTGCAGTGTTTAAGCACTCAACTGCTAACCGAAAGACTGGTAGTTCGAACCTACAAGCCATTACACCACAGAAAAATGAGGCAGTGTAGTTTCATAAAGATCACAGCTTTAGAAACCCTATAAAGCAGTTCTCCTCTGTCCTACAGGTTTATACCAGAATTGATTCAACACCAGTAGGATTATATTAAATAAAGGTGATTCAAGTGCTCTGACATGTTTTCTTTAAAAAATGGGTCGCTATAGTTTAATCTACACACAACAACAGCTAATGAATGAATTATATGTTCTTATTTACCTGACAGATCACATCAGCACTTGGAAATAAAGGAGTGGTATCAGGACCATAGCCTACTCTTTCTTTTCTAGACAGGAATGATAAAATATTTAGGCATGCACAATCAGAAAGTGTGGAGGCTCAACAAATGACATACATTTAAAGAACACACAAGGCAGGAATATTTATTTAAAGGGTTAAAGTTCATGAACATGAACAGAGTTTCAATTAGTTTATAGACAACACTCATATTAGAAAATGTACTATGCTATAAATCTTTAATAATTCTTAAGAATGATTTTTGTTAGTAAAAACAATGTGTGCTTATGCATGTTCAGTAATGCAGACAAATATTAAGAAACTAAAAAAAATTACCCCAAATTGTGCTACTAAAACTAGCCATGATTAATATTTGACAAATATCATTTTGCAGACATCTGTATGCATTTATACTAAGAGGTCACAAGAAATAATTTTAGAAAGCGTTCTTAATACAAAATTCTAAATTTAACTTTACTTGACTTTAACACAAATGTGAAATTTAAATACAAGAAATTGCCATACATGAAAGAAACATTTGCTTAACACAGAAGACAAGAAGGGTTCATGGATACCTTGAGTGCTTGCATGCATATAAATAACAATGGAGTCCTGGTGTGGTGCTGTAGGGTAAGCATTGGACTGCTAACCATAAGGTCAGCAGTTCAGACCCACCAACCACTCCTTGGAAACACTATATAGTGTTGCTAGGAGTTGGATTTGACTCGAGAGCACTTAACAACAACCAATAACTATTTTTCTATACCGCTGATATGCGAAGGACAGCATGGTGGTCCACGCTTCTTTTCCTTAAGTTTCTTGAAGGTATTTCCCCAGAAGTACCTTGTTTTGTGTGTTGCTTTTGAGAGTTTGACACCAGTCTAATTTCCTTGTCCTTGTAAGTTGTTAAGGAACCATGGTGGCGCAGTTGGTTAAGTGCGGGGCTGCTAATTGCAAAGTCGGTGGTTCAAGCCCACAATTTCACCCCACCGGAGAAAGCTGAGGCTATCTGCTCCTGTAAAGATGTACAGTCTTGGAAACCTTGTGGAGGAGTTCTACACTGGTCACCAGGGTCTCTGTGAGTTGGAATCAACTCAACAGCGTGAGTTTGGTTTTGTAGATTATTTGAATTTTTTGTTTCTGTGTCTTTTGTTGTGTGCTGTTGAGTCAATGATTTTGATCCTACAGGACAGAGTAGAACTGCCCCATACAATCTCCAAGGATGTGGAGCTGTGGGTTAATGCACGGGACTGCAAGGTCGGTTAGCAAGGTCGGTTAACTTTAACCACTGTGCCACCAGGGCACCATTGCCTAAAGACCCTGACTCCATGTTTTCCTTTAACTTTTAAGTCTAACCATTAAGTCTAATAATTTACTAGGCTATATCTCAGAGTTGCTTGTTGCACGTCAATTTTTCTGGGTACTTTCAATATTGTTGTTGTTGTTGTGTGCCATGGAGTCGGTTCCGACTCATAGCGACCCTGTACAGGGTTTCCGAGACTGTAAATCTTTACAGGAGCAGAAAGCCTCATCTTTCTCCCGCGGAACAGCTGGTAATTTCGAACCACTGACCTTGCAGTTCACAGCTTGATTCGTAATCACTACGCTACCAGAGCTCCTTACTTTCAATATGGAGATTCATTATATATTTATTTCTACACTGTTTGCTTCTGGTATGGCATTGTAGGATCAGCAAACCACAAGGTTGGAATTTCAAACCCACCAGGTACTCCTTGGAAACCTTATGTCATTGTTGTTAAGTGCCATTGTTGTTGTTGTTGTTAAGTGCCATCGAGTCGGTTCCAACCCATAGTGACCCTGTATAGGGTTTCCGAGGAGCTGCTGGTGAGCTTGAACCACTGACCTTGCAGTTCAAATGGCTTTGCAGTCTGATGCATTAGCCCACAGCGCCACATAGCTGGGTCTAATTCATAGTGACCCTGTAGCTATGAGTTGAAACCAACTTGACAACATTTAACAACAGGCGGCTTTCTTGGATTACAATTTTAGGTATCAGTTATCTTCCACGGCTTTTTCTTCCTCTGGGGTTCCAATTATGCATAAGCTGGATATTCTTCGCTTGCTTTCCATTTCAAGTTCATTCTCTCCTTTATTCTCTTCCATCTCTCTCTTCTCTTTGTTTTCTTCAATGTCCCTCACTAGGTTTTTATCCAAATTTCTTTCTCCTTGGACTTCTTATAAGTTAGCCTTTCTTTTCTGATCATTTTGCTATTTCTTCTATTCATTCCTATGTTCAATCAGCTCTAATTTCATTCATTTCTGGGTTCTTGTTGTTGGAGTTGGTATGTGTATGCTTCATTCTTGGCTTCTAAGTTATCAGAGTGTTTTGTTTTGTTATTGTATTCTTGAATGCTTTTTTAAAGATACTTAAATTTGTAGTTGTAATTCACATGCTCTTCTTTTGGGGGAAGGTTATTAGGCAGAGCGTATATTAATTTCAATATTCATTTTCATATTCTGGTAGTTTTGTGTAGCTAGAGAGTGCTTATATATCTGTTGGCATTTTGAGGTGCTTTGCATAAATCTTAGCTCAAATGCCCTCTCTTCTGTCAGTCTGCTGAAGATTTTTAACTGAATGGCCTATTTTGAGGCAAGGAAGGGAATTTGTGTCCTTTGATTTTTTTTTTAAAAATGATCTTTTGTTTTGTAGAATCTTAGATAATCTCTTCTTATTTCATTTTCCCTGCACTTCAGTTTCCACATGGTGCATCTCCCTTCTTTATTACTTTATTCTCCCCAGAAGCATGGCTCTTCTAAGAGGTCCCCTTTGGGGGGCACATCGTATGTGCTCAATTAATGAGAGCTTTTGTTCTTTTATTATTGGTGACAGTTCTCCCTAAGCTATTCGGTTTAATACTTCTAGGTTATCACTCCTAAAATTCCCTTTGACTGCAATGTCCTCCCTGTCTCTCTCCCTCTAATCTCCAACCATCGGGGGAGTATAATCAATTCAAGCATCTCCTTTCCATGAGCCTTCCTGAATCTGGTACCCTGCTCCCTATCATATTGGGACAATTTTGATAACAGGCTCTTCTCTGTCTCTTTCCACTAGATTGTAACTTTTTAGAGGCTGGGGATCATATTAGCTTTATACCTCCAACCCCATCTCCCCTCAGTGCCTTGTTCATGTGAGGCACACAGTCAATGCTGGATGGCTAGTTGCTTATAAATAAACATACATACTCTACATCATAAATTCAAAGCCGCTTTTAGCATGAATGAGAGACTGTCTAAAGGATGGTGCTTACTATACACCCCTTGGCTAAACAGTTTGTGAAATTCCTTCTGTGGCTCTTGATGACATTTTATTTTGCTTACTTCTAACACAGCTCACATGTGTTGACATGGGATATCCCAAGATATAAATGAAAACAAGTTTTGAAACTATTTGAATGTATGATTCCACTTATTTTTTTAAAGAGCTACTTGTAAAAGTACACACATATGAGTATAAATAAGTGTGTACACACACAGTGCTATGGAAATCACCAGCCATGGCTACCTCTGGAGAAAGGCCTAGAATAAGACCAAGGGGTGTGTCTGTATATCTGTGTGTATGTGCAAGATGCACATTTTTACTGTTAGAATGTCTATGTTGAATTTTAACAATAACAAACATTGGCTAAAAAAAATACTGATTTTTTTTTTTATGCTCTCTTGATGGTTTGGTGGTATTTATTAGCTCTCTGCTTGCCAAGAATTAAAGGAGTAAACATATAGAAGGTTGCCTAGACTAGTACCTGATACATAGTTGTTGTTGTTAAGTACTATTGAATCAATTCCGACCCGTAGTAATCCTGTATAGGGTTTGGGTTTGATCCACCAACTTTGCTGTTGGAAGTCCAGTGTTTATCTTACAGTGCCACACCAGGACTCCTCCATAGATAGAGCAGGCACTCACTAAATGTGAGTCATTATGACAGCTTTTACTGCCATTCTGTGGGAGCAATACCTCTTTCATTTGGCTCAGCGGCTGAGAACATAGCCATGAAGCCATTTCCAGCTGTATTCGCATCAGAAATCATCTGCACCATCATCTTATTGCCACTGGACACGAGGGCTCCAGGTCGGAAAGTGCCACAGAAGCGCCCGATGCGCTGGCCGTTGGCATGGCCATTGTAGACATCCACAAAGTCATAGCGGCACAGGTTGTCACTCTCGAGGTCTATGAATCGGAAATTAAGAACCACCACTTTTCCTTCAGGGACCTGCGGGGAAATGGGTCACCTGTCATAAAACACAGATCTGAAGACTTCACATTTAGGCAATTACTAACATGAGCATATAAAAGTACACTACTACAGACGATGTCTTCTTCTCCTTCAAAACTGAAATGGGCTGGGGAAGATAGCATATTGCAATTATAATAAACTATAAGTACTTATTCTCTTGACAAATTCTACCATGTATCAATCTTGTTCTTTAAGAGTTTATCTCAACAAAGTTGCAAAATATTGGATAATGGGCAAGGCATCACTTACAAAGAATACACACTCTGATTGGACCTCTACACATATTTGCATATTTCTAAGACATCCTGGCATCCCAAGATATTGCTTATCAAAGAAACATTTCCAATGTCATTTCTCACAATATGACAATGTCCATGTATAGAATATTTTCGTGGTGGTTGTTTTCAGTTGCCAATGAGTTGTTTCTGATTCATGACAATCCCATGTGTGCAGAGTAGAACTGCTCCATAGGAATCTTGAGACTTTTAGAAGTGGATAGTCAGGCCCATCTCGGGAGGGATGTCACTGTAAAATTGATATCCCATGGCTGAAAGCAGACCACACCAGAAAGATGTTTACCATGCTTTATTGACTATGCAAAGATTGTGGATCATGACAAGCTATGGATAACATTGTGAAGAATGGGTATTCCAGAACACTTATTGTGCTCATGAGGAATCTGTACATAGACCAAGAGGCAATCGTTTGAACAGAATAAGGGAACACTGAATGATTTCAAATAAGGAATGGTGTGTACCAGGGTTGTATTCTTTCACCATACGTATTCAATCTGAATAAGTATCTATTATATTCATACTTGTATAATCAGAGAAGCTGGATTATATAAAGAATGTGTCATCAGGACTGGAGGGAGACTCATTTAACAATCTGCGATAAGCAGATGATACAATCTTGCTGTCTGAAAGCAAAAAGGACTTAAATATTTACTGATTAAGATCATAGACCACAGCTTTCCCTATGGGTTTCACCTTAATGTAAAGAAAACAAAAATCCTCACCACTGGAGCAATAAAGATCATGATAAATGGAGAAAAGATTGACATTGTCAAAGACTTCATTTTGCTCAGATTCACAATTAGCACTCATGGAAACAGCAGTCAAGAAATCAAAGGACATATTGCATTAGGTATATCTGGTGCACAAGACCTCTTTGAAATGTTCAGTTTGAGAACTAAGGTGTGCCTGACCGAAGCTGTGGTATTTTTAATAGCTCATATGCTTGTGAAAACTGGACTATGAATAAGGATGATCGTAGAAAAATTGATGCATTTGAGTTATGGTGATGGAGAAGAATATTAAAAGTACCACAGACTGCCAGAAGGAGTCTGTGTTGGAAGAAGTACAGCCAGATTGCTCCTTAGAAGTTAATGAGATGAGACTTCATCTCTCATCCTTCAGACAAGTTATCAAGAGGAACCAGTCCCTAGAGAAGGACTTCATGCTTGGTAAAGTGGAGTGTCAGAAAAAAAGAGGAAGACCCCCCAACGAGATGGATCGGCACAGTGGCAGCAACAATGAGCTCAAACGTAACAACGATTGTAGGGATGGTGCAGGACTAGGCAATGTTTCATTCTGTTGTGCACAGGGTCACTATGAGTTGAAACTGACTAGGCAGAAACTAACAACAACAGCAACAATCTTCCGAGGCACATTTGAGTTGGTTCAAACAGCCAACCTTTCAGGGAGTAGTCGAGAGCCTAACTGTTTGCTCCACCCAGGACTCCATAGACTATTTCTATGAAGTTCAAAATAAGTGGTCATCTGGCAATTGTGTAGTTAATTTACAGATAATTCACACTGGGTCCTAAATAGTCCAGCTCAACTATCTGTATTGATTAAATGAAATGAACATTAATTCAAATGCACCCTCTTCTCAAAATTATTGAGATTTTGGTTTTCCAGGTATAAACTTTATATACCAGGTGGCCTTGATCCACAATGTGCAAATAATTAAGATAAATTTTCACTTTCTCATAAAACGTTGTCAACAATTTCCCCCCTAAAATTCTTTTCTTCTTGTTCCCATAGTACGTAGTAAACATAGTTAGAAAAACATGGTAGTATTCTCAGGTGTCCAAAGCCCCCATTTCATTCCAGTTAACACCATCTCTCAATTTTTTCATTCAAGTTGTTCATTCATAAAGTCTTTTTTTCCCCCCACAAGGTTTTTGTTTTTGTTTTTTTTTGTAATGTTTTATTGTGAATTATGTGATAGTTTACATGGAAGGACATTAGCTTCACGTTGATCCCATTGTATATTGTTTCCTTGCCATGGTTACAATCCCTCCATGCATCATCCACCAACCAAAGGGTATACCCTGCAAGCCTCCTCCTCCCCCAACCCCAGTTGTCCGCACACAGACCCTCTTCCTCTCTGGGTCCAAAGTTCCCAGCCACTCCATCTCTCCATGTCATTGTCTCTACCTCCATCCCTGGCATCACTGCTTCTCTGGGTAGGGTTCCAGCTGATAAGAAGAGAGGGCACATGCATAAGTACACCCACACTTGCAGATAATACCCACTTGACCTGGCTTCAATGACTGGATGATCAGAGCTCAACCAGAAGAAGAAAGAAGAAGGAAAAAAAGAGTCATCTGATACAATTTGATGAACTTGACATACACCTATGGAAGCAGTAACTCAAAAGAGGGAACAAATCTTCACAGCACCCCCTCTGCACATAGGGATGACAGGGATTGGCAACTTGGACATTGGGGGTGCTACAGAGGCAAGAAGTTACTGGCTTGCAAGCTTTCAAGAGGGAGCCTAGATCCAGAGGGCGTGGAGCAAGGTAGAATCTTCACTGAGTAGTATCCAATCTGTCTCAGCAGGGCTGATGAAAGGAAATGCAGATAGGTCTCTTGTGATACAATGGTGAACTGTTGTTATCAGGACTGATTGTCAGGGTTGGAAATGTAAAGGTAGACGTTTTGTGGCAAGTTTTTGGGAGTGATTAACTTTGCAGTCTAGGAGCAGATGTCCTAGGACCATCAAGGGAGAAGAGCGGAGAGCGGAACCTATTTTTCTGCATTTATCTTTATTATTTCCTTTCCTTTGGTGACTGTAGATTCCCTCTGCTGATCTGCTTCTAATTGTTGAAGAGGCTGTGTTAATGTGTTAATTTTGGTTCTCTCCTCTTTTTGGATGTGCGTATTAATTGCAATAAATTGTCCTCTCAGCACTGCTTTCGCCGTGTCCCAAAGATTTTGGTATGGTGTGTTTTCATTCTCGTTTGTTTCTATGAACTTTGTGAATTCATGCTTAATTTCTTCTTTTACCCAGTTGCTTTTCAGCAGGGTGTTGTTCAGTTTCCATGTATTCGACTTTATTGCCTTGGTCTTCTTATTGTTGATTTCTAGTTTTATAGCATTGTGGTCTGAGAAGATGCTCTGTAGAATTTTGATGTTTGTAAATGTATGAAGGCTTGCTTTGTGACCTAGCACATGGTCAATTCTGGAAAATGTTCTGTGCACACTGGAGAAGAACGTATATTGTGCTGTTGTTGGATTAAATGCTCTGTATATATCTATGAGGTCAAGCTGGTTGATTGTGTTGTTTAGTTCCTCTGTAACTTTGTTGAGTTTCTTTCTGGTTGTTCTACCCCTTTTCGAGAGTGGCGTGTTAAAATCTCCCACTATAATTGAAGATTTATCTATTTCTTTCTTCAATTCTAGTAAGGTTTGCTTCATGTACCTTGGTGCTCTTTCAATGGGAGCATATATATTTATTATGGTTATGTCATCTTGCTCAATTGACCCTTTAATCATGAGATAGTGTCCTTCTTTGTCTCTTAGGCTGGTTTTTATCTTTATCTTAAAGTTTACTTTGTCGGAGATTAGTATTGCCACTCCTGTTTGTTGCAATTAGCTTGGTATATTTTTTTCCATCCTTTAATTTTTAGTCTGTTTTTGTCTTTGTGTGTAAGGTGTGTCCCTTACAGGCAGCATATTGAAGGGCTTTGTTTTCTTATCCATTCTGCCATTCTCTGTCTCTTCACTGGTGCATTCAATCCATTGACATTCAATGTAATTATTGATAGGTATGAATTAATTGCTGCCATTATGTTACTTTTTTGGTAGTGCTGTT